TGGAGGAGAAGGGATTGCAACATGGCCCTCCCCCCTGGGGGGTGATTTCTCGCTTTCTGTCTCTCTGTCTTTCTGGCAAGCACATGTACCCTATAGCAAAACCCTTCAAAAATAAAAAATAAAAATAAATAAACTCACTTCAAAATCCCAAGAAAAGAATGGAGAAGAGATTGTGGCATGACTATCCCCTCTGGAGGGTCATTTCTCACTTTCTGTCTCAATATCTCTGTCTGTCTCTCCAGCTAGCACACACACCCTATAGCAAAAATCTCTTTCAAAAAGACAGCCAGAAAGAAAAAAAAAAAGGAAAACTAGTCTGTCCTCTTTCCACTACACCCAAGTGCCATCAATACAAACAATAAAAGTAAACACTTGTTAGTGGCCTGAAATGTTCCCATTCCTGGAAATGCCACTAAGCAAATTAGGTAACCAGAGAAGATCCCATTAGACTTGAGTGGGAGGCTCCCTTCTGACACTATGGCTTGAGTCTCTAAGTAATTCTGCTAGTGTTCTGAGCACAGGCGCTGATGTTAGAGGCGTGCATGAGACCTCCTACCTGTGCTGTGTAGGCCAACTCACAACCTCTCTGAACCTGGGAAGCCACCTCTAAAATGGGTCTGATAAAACTGCCCAAGGTTGTTGTTTGGATTATTCAATGTAATCCATATACAACATTTAGTAAATGGCCTTACCTAAACACCCAATCTAGTCCTCAACTCCCAGCCTACCCTAACCCATTACAGCTTTCTCCTTCCAGAGCTCTTCTAAAATGATCTTGCTTACGTGCATGCTATTTGACTCTCTCGCTCTCCACTACTAGAATATAGATTCCACGACGGCAGGAACGTTTTGTTACTACTGTACCCCCAGCACAGTGTCTGGTACATATCTCTACATAACTGTTGGACGAATGAGGCGCTCAAGGTCTACGAAAACCACTTAGTTTCGATTTCTCTGCATGCAAGACGGAAGAATATTTACCGCTTGGTGATGGTGTAAGTCCAAAACATACAAACAGAACCGCAAAGCTCGTGGTAATAACAAAAAGGTGCCTGAGAAACTCTCAAAGGTGCAATCACAAGATCACGATACAGTTAGAGGAGGACCCGACTGAAGCCCTGAGGGCAGCCCGACACTGACAAGCCCGAGGGTACACCCCGGGGGTTGCTGAAAGACTAAGGTGAAAGCAAACTCTCCGGAGGACTGCGGAAACGCCCGCCCCTTTCCTCCTCTCTTACCCTCTCAAGTGTGCACGCTATCCCTGGGAAGGTTGCTCCTCACACCTGCAGGGCGTCACGGGGAGCAGGAAGACAGGTGCGGGCGGGGAGCAAAATGCTCCTAAAGGGGAACAGCGGCATAACCGTGCCCGCACTGAGCTGAGCTGCATGAGAAACACGCCGCCTCTCCCCTGCGGACACTACTTGGGAGTCCAGTTCTCCTTTTAGAACTAGCCAACCCCTCGTCACCCCAGCAATAGTCGGGGGTGGGGGAACACGCTCGCCCGTCCAGCTCCGGCCGCCCCAGCGCAGTGGGCTCTCGGGGGTCTAGTCCCAGCGCGGACGGCAAACTCACCTTGGCCGCCGGCTCCACCTCCGCTCACAT